ACAGGTGGACAATAAAAGGCCCTGAAGCAGGCGTCACACAGTGTAAGGTGACTTGCCCAAACAATGGGGATGCATCGGTGCATTACATACCGTCAATCAGTACAATATTACATATCACTGATGGGAAGAGACAATAGATGTGTGACACACACTCGCTCTGGTGTGTTTTCTTGGTTGTGAAGAAAAGAAACAGGAGAAGGGCTGAGCTGCCAACACATCACACTGTCCAAACCATCATTCAAACTCATTGTCTCAACACATTATTCTAATATACAACCTAATTAAGTAATACATGTCCAAAGAACTTCAACGACAGGGAAACAGAGCCGTATAAAATGATGCACAAGACATGTCAATTTTAGGTATTTGTAAAAAAGTTAGGTTAATAAAAAGTTAATAAATAGAAGTTAATACAAAGAAGAGAGAAAATAAGTTCTCAGAGCCAGTGAACTATACGTATTAGCTTGTGAGCTTAGCTGGGTGCTAAAGGGACAGTAAGTCCACAGTTTATTTAACTTTATTTAGACTATTTGTACCATCATCTCCTGTCTCATACCTGTCTGCAAATGATCTAGTAAAGAGTTTTAATAAAGTGAATGGTGTAACACAGTTAAGCTATAATAGCTTCCTCACATTTGGACTTTGGAAGGTCAGCGCTGTCAAGACAGTGTGCTATTGCCCCACTGTGTGATAATCCACTGATAAATGCTGGTGTGAGCAGGCCTTTAAGAAGTAAAAAGATCAGTATTTCACATGAAAAGGGCAAAAAGTAAATAAACAGAAACTAAAATCATCTTGCTACCCCTCAGATTTATCTTGGGACCCCTTGAGGTCCCCGACCCCCACCACTACTTTTTACAAAGTTCTGAGACGGGTGAGTTTATATTAGTTGTGAGTTTATTTTTTATTTCCAAATAAATTTATTTGAAGGAAAAGCTCCAATTAAACCCAAGTACCTATTCATTCATTAATGAAACGTTGACTTGTATGTTTGCCAGATTTGACATTTTTGTATGTTCAACTCAGCTGCTGTACACCAGCAGTTTATTGATTAGGTATATTTATATTATTAGGTAACTGGAAGTATAATTGAACACTACCTCCATTTCTTCTGTACTTACTAACAAATTACATGGACTTTCCTATGAATTCACAGTTAAAACACATAAAGGGACATTTTTGTTCCAATAATGCAGCCATAAAGATAGCATCTTAGGCATTCATGTTTTACATGGTACAAGTGTGATGCAGCATCTGTCTGTGGTAGAGGTGTGATTTAATTTCTGTGCTAAAACTTGAACCCCAACCCCCGTGTTACCATACACAAATGTTCAGATTAACAAAATTATTCATTATTAAAGCTGCAGTAAGTCATTTTTTTATAAAAAGTAACTTTTAGTCATATTTGCTGAAACTTTCACTATATCTTGACAGTAGAACATGAGACAGATAATCTGTGAAACAATCAGGTTCCTCTGGCTCCTCCTAGTGCTCCTAATGGAATTTTTGAGAAAACAACCAATCAGAGCCCAGAAAGATAGTTGATTGTTGAGTCTCATTCCCAGTGTGTCAAATACAGATGTTTTGGGATTCTGTGAATGAGACAAAACAATCAATCTATCCTCAAGCCTCCAACCCAAAGCGTGATAGGTTGTTTTGGTTCAGGTCTGTTGGATTCTTGCAAACGCCATTAGGAACCTGATTGTTTCACAGATTACCTTTCTCATGTTCTACCGTCAGGATAAAGTGAAAGTTTCAGCAAATATGACTAAAAGTTATTTTCATAAAAATTACTGTCTGGAGCTTTAACTAAGATAACTTTATGGCTCATCTGTTTTCATAAATGCAATAATAAATGAAAGACATGTGTTTTTCACCTATAAATAAAGTGATGTTCCTCTTTATCCTGCCACATTTAGAATCAGCTCACATAATCACTCAGCTGTGAATCACATGCAAGTCACCCTGTACAACGCCCACTCACTGTATGTATCCTTTGGTCCTTTTCTGCCCCCTGCTGTTATTTACGCCACTCTACTGTAAACAGGTCAAGAAATGTTGCATTGTGTTAAGATAATGCACTGTATTACTTTGTATTGTGTACTATGTATATAGTCTATAAAAGGCATTCCCAAACATTTTAATGTTAAGGACCCAATAATAGATGCACATTAGATCACAGACCCCCCCCCATTTGAGAGAATATATATCCTTCTCAAATTGTAATGAATAATTTTTTCCCTATGTTTCAAGATAATAAAATGTTTATTGTCACAAACTGGGATCAGTAAAAATTACAATCAGATCTGTGAAAGCAGCCTTTATTTCTTCCCTTGTTGTTCCAGTTTCCAAAAAATGTGATAAATGTTCAAAGTTGTATCCACCAAAGACCCCAGTTTGAAAACCACAGTTCGATACTATTATAGTCATTATTAAAAGCTTATGTAAGTATTTGACTGTTTTGCAGTTAAACGCATGTGGAGCTATAGTATGAAGAGATGTAGGCTGATGCCAGTAGTCTGAGACTCTTCCTCACATCCTTTGTTGAGCAAGGCACATAAAGCCTGGTATCTAAAATTAAACACAGTGACTGACAGCAACATGCGCTGATGTGAATGTGTTTAACTAACAATGTGTTGTTGTACATAGATAGTACTGCCTCTAGCTAAATAAATGTAAAATAAAATCCTCTACGGCTAAACAGTAACTTCTATGTGCATTTCTTAGGAAGCTCTGCATACAGTATAACACAGTATGTGGTCCATTGTGTGACCTATCTCTGATATTAGGAATAATAGTCAAATGATGTGGTCAGATGGGACCAGGATTAGGACAATTAGGCCTTATATAAACCAGGTTTATTTGTTTATTTGTTAGGATCCCCATTAGCTGTCTACTTGGCTTTCACATTTAAACAAATCAACACATTAAAAAACCCATATTAAATCTTACAATCAACATAAATGACAAACATCATGCTTGCTAGAGGTTTCAATTCCTTTTAAAACATTCATTAAACCTAAAGTCCACATAAATCACCAAGTTAGAAAAAAATCCATTAAGCTTTACAGTCAATGACAAACATAAAACAGGAGTAAAAACATAAACTCAGTATTAGTAAAGCTTACAGAAGTTGCCCATACAGTCCTGCAAATATGATGTTCCAAGATGTTTCCTTATTCCCGTTTTAAACATTGATTTCTGTGTTCATTTATCAACAACAGTAGCAAAAAATCCGTGTTTTCATATATATGATGATATATTTGTGTTTACCTTAGGGACTGAGAACCGACCCTCTGGTAGCATATGTATGTGACTCTAACTTGAATTTTAATTGACTGTACTGATATGATGGTGTTCTGCACTGTAAAACTTTCCACCTAGAAAGTGTAAGTGCAGCCGTCGGCCTGTCTTCAAGATGTCTTCAGTAGACCTCGGCTGCATTTTATTAGAGTTTATGGCAAAGCTTTATCATACAGGTCCACAGTCAGTCGTCTTGTCAGAAGGTCACAGGCTTGGTTTTTTTCTGCCGTTTTACAAATCCTGCCAACATCTGACCCATACTGCTCCAGGAGCAACACAAGTGGGGCCACCAGTTCTTGTACTAGCCCACACATTTGTGTTTCTTTACATTATGACTATAGTGAATGCTGAATTTAACTGTGCCTAGTTATACCTGACATTCACATCATTTTGCCCACTGTCTCATATTCACTAAAACACGCAGGACGGCGCTCGTGGACAAATGCTGGGTCTCACGCTGCCTTCAGGACCAATCTGTGACTTCGCTGATCTTGTCAAATGAAGTCCTAAACGGGACATTTAGCTCTTTTGTTGCGCATTCAAGCGTGTTCTTCCTCGGAGACAATAGCATTATGTTGACAGGCCTCCCAACAGCACAGTTTCATACTCATCAGGTCTGTAGCTGATATCTTCATTAGGCTAATTTAACTACAAACCTGCAGAGTAGGTTGCATTTAATAACTGCTGGCTCAGCATCCACGTCCTCCAAACACCTAAACATCACAACTATCAAACTTGGATAGTAAAGAAAATTCGCACTTTATTAATATTCGTATTTTCTACTGATATTTTCTTTGCTGTCGCTATGCTACTTGGGCTCACCTGTGGAAGGGAGTATTTCCGACGGTACCTGAAGGCAGCAGCTGAGCTCATCTGTTCGCTGGAGATAAAGCAGATAGGAATGTGTAAACAAATGTACGCCCTCTTTTGTAAGGCGACCTAACTGTTGTCGGATATATTCGAAATGTCACTTTACAGGAACGATTTAGCTTTGAACATGAGACACGAACCCATCAGGGACGTGTGAGCGCACAAAAATGGCTGTTTTCTCAAGTGCAGAGAAAAGGTTCATTTCCCGTTAAAGAAAGAGACAATTTCAGGTTTAGTACAGTGAGTTAAAAGTATTTGGATTGACGCTGTAGACATTAAATGCCTCAGAGTAGCAGGCAGGCATATTATCTGATGATCAGGAAGTGATGACGGCAACATATGACAGGTCTTTACATATGATGTCACTCGTTAGTTGACGATAATGAAAGTTCATTTGAATAAAACACACTGAGAGATGTTAATTTGTTGGAATGTAATTGAATTATTAGATCATTATCGGTCCACACACACACACACACACACACACACACACAGCAGACTGGAGGAGTTATCTTCACTGTCGACCCGAGACTTTTCAAAGCAACAGGTGCGTCTGGATGGAGCGCTGCATTCAGGGAACATCCGGTAGCCATCATGTGTTACCTTAAAGTCGACTTTTGTAAGCGTTAATGTGGATAAAGGTGTTCGGGAAGAGTAAAGATGTGTTCATGAAACAAAAGCAACCCCCCCATTCCTTAGAGGTTTCAAGTTTTTCAACACCTGTATGCTGCTGTAACTGTGTATAACTCCTATCTACGATGTGTTCTGAACCTCTCACAGCAGACCCCGCCTCTTCACACTTCAGAGTTTGTTATAGTCTCTGGGTGTCAACGGCGAACTCTCACAGTGACATTAGTCAGGTCGACGGCCCTCTGAGGAGGTCTCTCTGCTCTCCTCTCTGTCTTCACTTTTTGGTTCGGGTGGACGTTTTCGCATCTCCGCTGTCAGGATGTCTCCGTCCACGTCCCCCCGGTTCTTCACGGAGCGGGAGGTGGCCTCCCACTGCACCAAGGACTCCTGCTGGGTGCTGCTGGGGACCAGGGTGTACGATGTGACCGCTTTCTTGCGGATGCACCCGGGAGGGGAGGCGCTGATTCTGCGCAGGTCGGGCAAGGATGTGAGTGGGGAAATGGAAGGACCCCCACACCGGCACTCGGAGAACGCCCGGCGGTGGATGGAGCAGTACTACATCGGGGAGCTGGACAGGGACAGAGGCACCGACGAGACACAGGTAGAGCCGGGTGGGGGGATAACTGACCCACACCTTATCTATGGCTGACATTACTGACCTCAGAGCAGCAAATTCAGAGGAAGATAAAGAAGTAAAACCTGTTTTCCAGGTCTTCCCTGAAGGGTCTTCTTTGAGAGTTTAACAGGTGTCTTAATATTTACATTTTCTGCAGAGTAACTCACTATTTTGGTTGAAAGTTGATCATATTGGGAATCTCTTTAACAGATTTCCCTCCAGTACAGACAGGTACTCAGGGGCCCATTGCTCGTAGAGAGGCCCCCCCCTTCAACAATGTGTTGGGGCGGGTGAGGACCCCTGAATCAGATTGTGTAAACTATAAAATAACATTCAAAATTAAATCATTTAGCCAGATACAGTTATGCATGATGGTTGCTGGGTAATATGTATCTTGATGTTCTCCAGTGTCAGCTCTCTGTTTGATCATGTGACCATAGATATACTGTAGCTAGGGCTCCTCTGAATAGCTCTTGGGGCCCGACCTAACAACCTTACGCCACTGGCCTCCAGGCAAAGCTGTGGCCCTTACAACAGTCAAACAAAACCACACCATTCTCACACTTTACACTTTATTTGTTAAATATTCTGCCTAGAAGCTTCTAGCATGTTTGACACAGGCGTCATTTGGGAAGCAGTGGCACACTCCTACCTGTGTTCAAATGCCAGCGGCGCCACTGTGACTTCTCTTAAAAGCAGTTAAGGAGAGGAAGAATGTTCCCCTCTGAGCTGTGCCTGGGGAGCTAAAAAGTTCTCACACTGAGCCAGTATCTTTGTCAGTAATGACATATTTTGGGCTCCAGGCAGGTTTGGTTGTTTATTGGCTTCACGTGATGTCAGACTTAGTGACTTTGCCAAACGCTTAGTGGTTTTGATGCGGTGGAAATCCGATAGGGGCTTGTTGGTTCTGTGAGCAACAGGTGTATAATTGTCTCTCACTTGACTTTACTGGGCGTTTCTGTGAGGCAGAGAGAGAAGGAACTCCCTGCTTTCCTCTTCCGCCTGGACAATATTGATTATAGGGTTATGGGATCAGGAGTCAGTGGAAAAAATTCTTTGAGGAGCAGAGCAGGGAGGGGTGTGTGCAGGTGATATAGACCTGTGGATGGGGGTGTTGGTGGTGTTAATGAATGATTCAAGAGGTATGTGTGTGTGCGCGTGTGTGTGTGTGTGTGAGAGACAGAGAAAGAAACTGGTTTGTGTTGTCCCAGTAGTAAGAATAGAGGCGGCCACAAAGAAGGCAAATTTGAGGGGAACCCGGAAACTTTCCATCACTCATTGTTCAATGAATCCACACCCAAATGAGCTCTCTCTGTCCTTGTGTGTTTCTCTCTGGCTGAAGAGGGAGAGTTTGCATAAATCTCCTACCAACAGAGTTGACATTTACATGGCTTGCCCACTCTCAATTTTGCCTGTTGCATATGGGTAAACAACAAATTTCACACAATTGCAGTAGCAAAATAATTTTTTTTGCATCTTCCTTCCTCTCTGGAGCTCAAATGCCTAAGTCACTAAGAAATCACATCTAAGAAAAAAATGGACTCTCAGCTGTTAGTTTTGAAGATGGCATACAACTCATAGTATGTGTGTCTGTATGGACTGAATGGGAGAGGTGTGTGTCATGCCGTTAATGTTGTAAAAGTAGTTTGACAGTGTGACAATGTGTGAAAATGTGTGCAGCCTGGGCAAACAGTCTGCACACATTTTCACACATTGTCACACAGCCAGTTTGCAGTTTGAGGAGTTAGTGGTTTTTCTTTTTTAGCAACTACCATCACATCTCAATTAATCACACATTTTCATCTTTATTATTTCAAGTGCAGCTTGTTTTTTTTGCACACGTCCAGCTAAGGGTGTATGGAGAAGCTCTCTGGATAAAAATATGTTGAACAATTTGTAATTATGTTTCTAAAGTATATGATTCTCAGCCAGCCTTACTGAGGAACCTGCATTTCCTGCTGCTGGGTGTGAAACTCGTGGTCAGATGTGACAATGGAGGTCATGAGACAGGTTTCAGCCCACTGACTGAATGACCAGGACATTCCAGTTGGTAATGAAATACAGCCCCTGCATCATTTGTCCTCCAGGTATGGCTGGAGAACAAATAATGCTCACTTTCTCTTCTTTCTCCAGTCACTTAGGCACCTCGGCCCAACTGCAAATGTTAAACTCACATTTTCTTTAATGATTGGCCTTTAAATGGCATTTTCATCGAGCAGCCAAATACCAGCACAGAAACGGGATGTATCCACATACGGTCACTCATTGTGACTTTAAAGAGGTTTTTAATTGGTCTTGGATCGCATCCTGTAGAAAGGTGACATACAGAGGGAACACCATCAAGTTAAATATTGTCTAAATAGTGCTGCTGTGGCTTTTGCTGTTTGGTTTAAGAATTAAATATATATAATTCTATAATAACTCTGTTGTTTTGTCATGGAATCATCCTCCATTACTGAGCGGCTTGAAGTGGGACTGGGGGAAAGAGAAGGAAAGTCATCACACGTCACACAATTTGGCCTTGAGAGATAAACCTTTGCAGCTGTAGAGTCACTGAGAGGTGATGGGAATCAGTGCAGTGATACAGTTATGATGCCTCATTTATACTGGGGCGTCAACAGGATTTGGAGGGGTGTTTTCCTCTTTTACTGCACACACTTTCTCTCTGAACTGACATTTCGGTGGTGCCACATGTGCAAATGTTACCGTGTGTGTTTGTGTGTGTGCGTTTTAGGGCCGCAGCTACCCGTTATTTTCATTCTTGATTAATCTGCTGGTTATTCTTTGATTGTTCTTCATCATTCCTCCTAAGTTAAAGATAAAGCCTGTATGGTGATACCATGGTTATGATGGCTATAATGGGTAGGCATTGCTGTTAATTGCCACAACAAATCCATTTTTAAAGGCCAACACACTCAAACCCTACTCCCTGACTTCATCAATCCCTATTTTGACATAATCAAGCCAGGTCTGACGTGGAGGCAGCGAGTGCCAGAGTATTCTATAATGATGACGCGCCCAAGTCTGGTCCCCCCAAGGGTTAATCCCTGCTAAGCAGTCTGAACAGTGTCTCTGGGGAGGCTGCTCTGCCTGCGCTCTGCCACATAGGACTAAGTGTTTGAACAGTCTATAAGCAAATGGTATCTAGAAAGCTTGGCAGACATTACAGGACTTGTATAACATTCAGTTTGAGGTTACTCCTAGTACAAACAGAAAGAGATTAAAGGGGAGATGGTATCCTTTTTGTTTACATAATTAATCTTCATACACATATTCTTTAGTAAAAAGGGGAAATCTGACATTTGCATGTCCAGTATTTCCCTGTGACTAGCAATTGGTATGTCTTTTTGGACAGTACTACAGGATCTTTAGGAGAAGATAGCAAATACATTATCTGAAATCTAGGAACCTGAAGATTGCTTGTGTGTGTGTTTTGTGTCGGCATCTGTTCAAATATTGAAAGAGTAGACTGTAGATGGGCATAGAACATTGATATATGATGACCATCCCCATGCTCAATTATGTCTCATAAGGTGTTGCAGCCATTTCAGGACTAATACCATGTGTTACACAGATTTGATAAATTGAAACAAATAGTCAAAAAATGTGTGGAGAATGTCTGGGGGTAAAAATGTGTGATTTGGTATCAAAACCTTTGACATTAGGAGATAGAAAGAACTGCATTTTTTTCCCGTGTTCTGAATGCTCTCGGTCTCTAGTTTGCAATTTTATAGAGTGAAGTCCAGTTTTAAAAAACTAGGGCCTCACTACGATAAAATGGCTTCTATGGGGAATAACGTCATCACACATTAATACAATTCAGCATACTGAATCCACAAGAGTCTTACCCTCCCAGTCATACCCAATTTTATGCAATACCAGTACTGTTTAGTGACGCCAGTATGCAGAAATATTCAAATAACCCATTTTCATCTTGAGGTCAGAGGTCACGGGACCCCTTTTGAAAGCATTACAGTTTCCAGGGTAGCTTCAGTGAAAATGGACAACGATTATTGTCTGTATGCCGACATGATTCAGCTAAAGTTGGATGTCTCTGTGGAAACACAAACATGTCATTTACTTGATCTCACAGTGCGTTTTACCTGCAGACAGCAGTGAGATACTCTAGGACTGCATCCAAGATCTTCATGAATAAGAAGGGGGTGGAAGTGTGTGTGTGCGTGTACATTGGAGCAGGTTTACAATCAAACAGAGGTGCTGTTTACACCGTCAACAAATTGAACTGGTTTGTAATAGATGCTGATTACCTCCATTTAGAACCAGTGTTTGTTAGTGCTTTTCCACAATGAAAATGACGCCAGCAATTGGCACAGTTTGTCTTTAAATCAACAGCTCAATGATTTTCATATAAATCATTAGGGATGTCCTGATTTAAGTTTTTTTTTTTGGCCAAATTTGATTCCTTCATTGGGTATCTGCTGATAATGAATCCGATCAGATACTTACATTTAACTAAATGTTGATTAAATATATATCTGACTCACAGAAATGTCAACAGATGTAGCCTTCTAAACAGGGCACACCTTATTTTCCATGAGCTATTTGACCCAAATACTGAACGTCCTGATTCAAAGTAGATAAGCTTAAATTATTGATATGATATGGATGGAATGGACTGTGCACTCAAACCCCATAGCAGCCACATTTTATGTTGGCCTGTCATGAAGTTAGCTAGCTGAGGTGGACAATAGACAGTAAAGAAAGGATTACATTTTGATTGGCTTTATTTCATCTGATACTAGTAAATAAAATATGCCTGTATCAGTCCTGATACCTATCTTAAAAATTACATTGTGTGTCATAAATGTTGCTTTTATAGTATACTGCCTGTTTGGAATAACTAAAAGAAGAACTGAGAAAGCCCACTTGGCTCAACACACAAAGAAGAGAATGACAGTTATGGAAAATCAAACCTCATCAGTATAAAAAACAAGGAAAAGTCATCACTGGAGTACACAGACACT